TGGAATTAAACATGAATGCATGATGAATATGATAATGTGTGAAGTGTGCATGAGAATATATGTATGATATATGTGCATTGCTTGGTAATTGATAATGACGTCGAGAGTATGTAAACATGCGAGATCCTTACTCATTGGGGTAGAATGACAAGGTGTCGTTCCTAGCGTAGTGATCACCAGGGTAGAATAACTGTGAAGTTGTTCCTGGTGGGGTATAAGAGATGTACCTGTAATCCTCGTGAGGATTTGTGAGAGTTGTTGAGTTTGTATGAGTCATATGGCATGTGTATATGATTGTTGTATGAAAGTGTGAGATGTGGCCATTTGGCAATTATGTGTATAACTATATGTACTTGTGTGGGGTAATGCGTAATTGAATATTTTTGTGTATATGTGTGCATTTCACGAGTGTGTAGAGTCATTGTGCGTGTGTAGCATCATGATTGCATTCTTGTGTCTTGATCCCATGGAGGATCTGCAGAAACCTCGTGCGCCCTTGTGGGGTGTGAGTGATGGTTTATTCTTGATCCCGTGGAGGATCTGCAGAAACCTCGTGTGCCCTTGTGGGGTGTGAGCGATGGTTTATTCTTGATCCCGTGGAGGATCTGCAGAAACCTCGTGTGCCCTTGTGGGGTGTGAGCGATGGTTTATTCTTGATCCCATGGAGGATCTGCAGAAACCTCGTGTGCCCTTATGGGGTGTGAGCGATGGTTTATTCTTGATCCCGTGGAGGATCTGTAGAAACCTCGTGTGCCCTTGAGCCATAACAAATATTTTAGTGTACTGGTGTTTGGTAGAATTGCGATGCAATATTTTAATGTATTGGTGTATGATAGAATTGTGGTGCGATAAAAATGTTAGCTTCATGTGTATTAATAGAAGTCTAGTTTCATCTAATAGAATTTTTAATATATTATTGTCTTGTCTCTATTATACATGTTTATTAATATTATTTTTTATATAATGTTTTTTAAATACTTGTCTCAATTATACATGCATTAGTCTTGTCTCAGTTATACATGCATTAGTCTTGTCTCATTTATATCTTCTTATCTTCTTACATGCATTAGTCTTGTCTCTTTTATGCCTACAAATACCCTATTATTCTAAGACTAATACATGCATTAGTCTTGCCTCCTCTATGCATACCAAGTCCATATTATTGTCTCCTTATCTTCTTACGCTATTTTCTAACATGCCTACAAGATATGGTTACTTCATTATGGCTTAGTCACGTGTATTACTCTTACTTCATTATGCCTACATTATTTTCTTACATGCATTAGTCTTCATTATGCAATAGTCTTCACATGTCTTCTTATAAGATTCACATGTCATCTTACATGCCTATAAGATTCACATGTCTTCTTACATGCCTACAAGATTCACATGTATTCTTACATGCCTTAGTTTTTCTCTTTAATGCAAAGTCTTGCACTATTTTCTAACATGCCTAGTCTTACAAGATTCTTTATCTTTAATGCAACACCTTACTTGTTTGTCTTGTAATTGCATGCCTTCCAAGATGCCTTACACGAGATTCCTTCTACATGATTCCTTACACATGAAGAGAGAGAAACATCAATTTCATTTTGCTTACCTTCCTACCTATGCACCATTTCAATTGGCGTGTATGTACAAAATGCCAAGAATGCGCCATTTCATATGGCGTATATGTACAACATGCCATGCAAGACTTAACCTAACACGTGAAGATCCATATTATTCTATATATATATATGCCTTACCAATTCCATATGCTCCTCACAACTTTCATCAAGAAATTTTCTCTGGAGAATTTTCTCTGTTAATCTACCTCGTTCTAAGCCAAATCTATAACTAAAAAATGTCTCTCCTTACTATGGGTGATGAACACAAAGGAACAATTGACAATATTGCAACATTTGTAAGTTTTTTGTTTATTTGTTTTGTATCTCCTTACTTTTTTATTTAAAGATATGGTTTCATTATAACTTGTTAACTTAGTTTCTTTATAACTTTTGTCAGGATGTAAGGATATTTCGATGTCGTGTCCATGACTATATACCACATGATCCAATCATAAAACCATACCTTCCATCATGCAGTTTCGATCATGTGCTAAACATAGTCTCATACTCGATTGATGCCAAATTTATTCTATCTTTGCTAGAGCGATGAAGATCTGAGACCCATATATTTCACCTTCCATTTGGTGAACGCACCATCACACTGGAAGATGTGTATATGTTGTTGGGCCTATGCATCGATGGTAAGGCTGTTAACGGAAAAGTTAGGGTTGATAACCAAATATGCAAAGATTTGTTGGGTGCCCCTCTTTGTGAAGAAGCAAATCTTATACAGGTGCAGGTCGACCCGGGGGTCAAGGTATTAATTTAAAATACCTTAGAGAACATTATTCCAGTATCGCATTAGAAGATGAATCCACAGAGTATGATAAGATAATTAAAACTAGGTGTTATATTATGATGTTATTTGGACATTTTTTATTTCCTGAAAGTACTAAAAATACAGTAAATATTATGTATTTGTCGTTTTTACACAACATTCATAAAGTAGGCACTTATAGTTGAGGTTCAACTGTTTTGGCCCATCTATATATTTCCTTGTGTAAAAATGCAAAAAAGATACTTGTACATTTTATGGTTGCACCTTTCTACTACAAGCACGAGGTTGGTCAAGAATGCCTACACTCGCCCCAGTTAACCCAAATCCATACACATTCCCCCACACAAACAAGTAAGTTTATTTTAAAATTTCAATCACATCTACCGTAATAAAAAGTTTGTTTGTAACTAATTATTTTTCTCTCCTTTTGTTTTAGGTGGTCAGTTCTGGGAATGAATTACCAACAATGTCCCAGAAATGCAATAATCGTGTACAACAATCTTTTAGACCACATTGGACCGAACAATGTAATTTATTCCAAGATACTATAAATTTGGCTATAAAATTAAGATACCACAATTCTTCTCATTATGTATTTTTATTATGTAGTTTGTCTATAGGCCATATCTGGGTATTAACCATCAGCCTAACTTTGATGATCTTGTAGTCTGGACAATAAAAACACCAATCATTCGGTTCACTACAGTGGAGATGCACTAGAGTGGTCGAGTGAAACTACAGTTTGACATGCAACAAGATATTCTAGTCTATCTGATGTGTTTGGCAAACTGACATCAATTGAGAGTAAATGCACAATGGGGCTACGATGATTGAAGAGACTTTGCTAAGGAGATGTGTCGATATTGAAAGAATCGACGTCGCCACATCTTAAACGAGCCTATCGTGGAAGGGGCTATACCAAGTCATCACTATATGATTTGGTTTAGATCGGTTACAACACAACAATTTGTGTCTGAGCCGACATATTTGATAGATCCGCGCCAACGTGCTTCCTCGTTATACACCTAACAAAAAAACATCTACCCAACAACCAACCCCATACCACACCCAATAATATCTATCCACCCAATCCCACTACCCACCTCACACCATCGACATGCCATGTACACTAAACCATCAAACATCCAAACCCGCAACCCATTCATGCCATTCAGCCAATCACAACAACAAGTGCTTGACCCTTACCACCAACATCCATACACCGACACCACATCTGCCTATGGCTCCGATGACTATTTCAACTCCACCTCGGCCCACCATAAACCCCCACAAATGAACACAAAGACATCCCACCGCCAAAATACCAAACCACTATTTGACTTCCTTACCCCACAACAACCATTGCATCGTTTCCAAAACGATTCAATGTATCAATTCAGCCAACCATACCATCCTTACCTAACCCAACCACTACAACTCAACTTTGAAAACATGGGCACATAACTAAATTACGACAGCAATCCCTCGACTATTGGGGACAAAATGATTGAAAATATGTCAAATACGTCGGGACTATCGCACCAAATATCTTTTCCGCAAGCCAATACGCAAAGACCATAAACACCTCAACAAAATCGTGGTAGACCTCAAAGGTAGGCTAATGCGTCGGGATGTGAAACCATATGACGTTTTGACCGGGTTGAATATTAATTTCTTAATCAATTGTAACATTTAATGTATATAAATAATACTTTTCTTTGTTTTCTATTTTTAAAATTTCTTTTTCTATTTTTTTACCTATTTTAATTATGTTTTATATATATATATATATATATATATATATATATATATATATATATATATATATATATATATATATATATATATATATATATATATATATATATATATATATATATATATATATATATATATATATATATATATATATATATATATATATATATATATATATATATATATATATATATATATATATATATATATATATATATATATATATATATATATATATAGTATATCAAATGAGAGTGATTTTAAATGAGAGATGAGAGTAACAAACAACAACCATTAGATCATGATTAAACTTATTTATTAATGTGACTATTAATTTCTCTCTCTTATGATTGTTGTTTGTTCCTCTCATGTCTCATTTTAAAATACCTCTCACTTGATATGCTCCATATATATATATATATATATATATATATATATATATATATATATATATATATATATATATATATATATATATATATATATATATATATATATATATATATATATATATATATATATATATATATATATATATATATATATATATATATATATATATATATATAAATATATATATATATATAAATATGTTATTTTAATTGGCTGAACTTATATGCATACTCCATTTCATTTAGAGCATCATTGTAAATTCGTGCAAATTTCCTAAGACATTTCAAATTAAATGGTTGGAAAACTTGTTATTTTCTTATTTAATTTTAAAAAATAGGTTATTTTAAAAAAAAATTTCAAACCCTCATTCAAATTAAAATCGCATGACTCTCCTAAACAGTCAAACGCTAATCCCAGTCTCTCTCTAAAAAAACCCCTCCATCTCTCTCAAGAAATAGAAAATGTCGGACGCTTTTTGCAGCGACTGCAAGCGAGAGACGGAGGTAGTTTTCGATCACTCAGCTGGAGACACAGTATGCTCAGAGTGCGGTCTTGTACTCGAATCCCACTCCATCGACGAAACCTCCGAGTGGCGTACCTTTGCTAACGAGTCCAACGACAACGACCCCGTCCGTGTTGGAGGTCCATCCAATCCACTCTTAACCGACGGCGGTCTCTCCACCGTCATCGCTAAACCTAACGGCTCTTCCGGCGAGTTTCTCTCTTCTTCTCTCGGTCGCTGGCAGAATCGTGGCTCTAACCCTGATCGTGGACTTATCCTTGCTTTCAAAACTATTGCCACTATGTCCGAAAGGTCCGCCTAGGGTTTCCTCACTATTCTTATTTATATAAAGAACGTACTATTTGGTTTCTTGCTTTGATGAAATTGAAAATTACTTGTTTATCTTTACAAATTTAGGTCTATGTTTCTTAGTATTGATTCTACTTGAAGCTGTGATTTCTACTAGCTTTTGAGTCTAATCGTGATTATCATGTTCAACTCAATTTTGCTAGAATTTATCCTAACATAAATCACTACCTTTAACTCAATTTTAGTCGGAATCAATTTTACCAAATCAATTCACTCAAAATCAATATTACAAAATCAATTCACTCAAAATCAATATTCTTCTCTGCAGAAACAAACACACGCTAAGTATATATACTGAAATATCATTGCAGTTGTACTTTGAAGATTTTGACTTGCATTAAAAAATTCTTATGGGAATTGATTTTCTATTGACTGAAATGAATGGCAACTTAGCTGATGGCATTGAAATTTTTTCAGGTTGGGGCTTGTTGCAACCATCAAGGTATCACATATTCTCATTCAGGGCAGACTCTCTTTCTTCACTATTAATTGAGGATAAATATGATGAAATGGCTTTTGTCTTAGCTCACTTTTTATGCTCATTATGATTAACCTTAATTGTTTGCCTATTGAAATTGCATTACATTCAAATAAATAACATGCCAAATTTGTCTGGTGGTTGGAGATAAGGGCGTTTGTAGTTTGTAGTTTGAATCTATCGTTACCCAATCCATATCCACATAAAAATTGCTTGGATTTAAAACCAAACTATCAAAACCGGTAACAAAATTTAAACTAGTATTTAAAACTAGCCAAAAACACAATTAAAAAACACAAGTTTTCAGAGCAAGCAGCTGTCGGAGCGGCATCCACTGAGTTAAACACACCTTCCTTTGAGATGGCTAAACATGGCTTGTAACCTGTATTTTCTGGTGAATGAGAAAAACTAGATGAAACATAAGAAACCAAGAGTACTAATTTGCTTTAATTTGAAATTACCTTTTGCTTCTGAAATTTCCCTTTATTTTTCCCTTCCTTTTCCTATATGTTCAAATCTGTTTAGCTTAGCCTGAAATTACCTTTTGCATTATCAACACAGTCACAAAGTGTTTGGTCATGAAAAGGATTTGGACATCCACTTTATGATTCTACACTGGTTGTAAAATATCATATAATCCAAATTAATTTAAATAAAACAATTTAAACCATTTTGACATGAATCCGGGTTTTTTAATATGGTTTTGGATGTGGGTTTAACCATAAAATCAGTCATTTTGTAGGCACAATGAATGTACTTTGCCATAAGTTGTGAGTCCGTAAGTTTTTGAAGGCTAGTTACTGTAGAATTAGAACTGACTGCATTGTTTATTATAAGGACATTGATTCACATTTCTCATTTTAGTGTCATGGTTTTATTACAGAACATGTTTTGTCTGCCTTCCTATATACGACAATTGCCATTGGCTTAAGCTTGGAAGTTCAAACATAAATGCAAAATTTTTTGAAACATTGCAGTTGTGTTATCCAAATTTTGGTGTAGATTTTTTGCTGAATTAGTTGCTTTTGGTTACATTGTTGTTTGATAAGAACACTTTATTGCCGCTCCTGACGTGGTTTGTATGTTTTAACCTCTTAAATCCCTTAGGTTTTGTTTGTGAGTTTGGAGGGAAGGGGAGGGGAGGGGAAGGGAGAACTAGGGAAGGGGAGGGGAAGGGAGGACTTTGGGAAAGTGGATTCGTAAAAACAGAAACGAGAAATCTACATTTTTTTAAATTGTGCTTTTGTTTAGAATGATAAATTAATGTTTATCATTACTATATTTTTAACTTTCATAATATTATAACAATATAAAATATATATATTTTTGAAGAATTTATGTAAGCCCTCAAAAACTCTCATTTAATATAAATTTTGAGTTCTTCCAATTAGGGACATTTTGTGTTATGAATAAAAGCAAACCCTCCAAAATTCTCTCAACCAAAATCCTTCGATTATTTCCTCTCAATCCTTCTCTTTTTTCAAAGCCCTCTCCTCCCTTCCCCTTCAAACTCCCAAATAAAGCCTTACAGACATTAATATGTAATATGTAGTTTAGTCAATGTTCTTAGATAAGCTATCAGATGGGGGTCAGCACCTCATACTAGTTGAGGCGCTGCCCCTTCTTTGAAGCCGATCACACCTGCGCTTTTGACATGCCTTTTTGGTTCGGACGAGGCATACTTGTAGCAACTTATTGATAATTATGACAAACCGTAAAAGCTCAATTCTGCAACATTGCCAACTTTGATACTTATAGGGATAAGTAAACTACTTGGTCTCTAGGATGCTTTCTTTAGCTTATTTTACTTTGTAAAATGAACATGTTACGTTACAAGTTTTGATACAAGATTGGTCCTTTATCTTTTCCGATTATTTGAGTTTTTTTCCCCACTACGGTCCTTATATTATTCTACTACATGAGACCAATAAGTTAATTCATGAGTGGTATCTGCTGGAACATTTATAGACAATAGTGACTAAGACTTTAATTATTAGAAGATAGGAAAGCATTGCATTTCTTTGTTCACTTTCTTGCTTGAAAACCTAACGATAGGCATGGGTGTTAACACAATGTGGTTCTTAATTAAGTATTAAATTTAGAAACAGGTATACTTCAAAAATGCATAAAAGCACAAATGACTTTTACAAGACACTTTTTTTATTGTTTCTGTTGATATTTGTAAATGTATATAGTGTTAAAAATATTTGTATATATAATAGTCCCACATCGACTATATCATGTAATTAGTTGTAATCTATCTATATATAATAATGTCTCCGTAGTGCTTTTCAAAACACACGGATTATTCAAATGTCTCTTAGTCTCTTGTATTTTAATATGGTACAAGATGCTGGTTTTGTAGGGTTGAGTTAGGCCCAACCACATTTCTAAACATGGTATCTAGAGCCTGCTAAGAGGCAGTTCTTTCTTCGCCGTGCTTTACCCAGTTGATCCACTGTCTTCCGGTGAGAAATTTTTTAAATTTTTTTTGCAAATTGTGTTGTCACTCCGGTTTGTCTCACTTTTCAAAATTCTCCGGTGACCACCCTGTCACCACTGCCGCCGTTACTGTACTGACAAAATTTTCGGCGACGTTTCAGAAAGCCGACCCCACCATCAATTTTCAACATTCTCTGACCATAACCGCATAGCCGTTGCTGTCGCTACTATTCTCAGCGACCTTCCTGCAAACTTTTTCATCGGCAGAAACCTCCGCGTGCGCCCAAAAGGGCAAATACCCCACGAATATTATGGCAAAATAATCGAATTTCCGTAAGCAACGGGTTTTCTCAAAATTACTCAAAAGTGCTCAAATGGCAGCGGAACTCAAAAAGGTAAATCCAAAGTTTTTCTTGCGCCGCAAGACAATCAACCTAACAAAAACTCAATAAAATATAGATTAGCTCAAATATCCCAACTTGATGTTACACTATCAGAGCAAGATCCTCTAAGTCAACCACAATGACCAACGACCCAAAAACTTCAAAAAGTCCTCGACGGCATCAACGGTTAAACCTGATCATTTACCCACGTGGAGGCAACATTCAAACAGATATGGTGAGTAAAACGATTCATAATAATCAATATAAGAATCAATATATAAAATGACGTCATTTTCATATCTAACATCGTCAGAATCATCAAGGAACATCAAAGGTCACAACATTATAAATTACACCAAATTGTCACATGAATTCAAATGCAACAAGACTCATGCATGTGGTACCAATCAACAAAATTCGATGGACACTGAGCCATCAACCCTCCATAGATCCACAACAGTAGGATCGACTCTACACAAGAACCGGAGCACAACAAAATACCTCACATCCGCACAATGGGACTGAAGTCACAAGAATCAAGGTCCTGAACCGAAGTCCGAAATGCATATGAATGCATGATGCACACGTCAATATCATCCTCATAGTAATCTCATTAGGTGCATCATCATTTATCAAAATCATCATAATAATCATGTCATCATAGAATCATCAAAACCTTATGGAATCAACGTCCCTCATGGGAATTCATCATGCAATCATGTATTAATCTTATAAGAATCACAATTATACTCATGGGTACTCATCATACGGTCATGTATTAATCACATAGGAATCACAGCTATACTCATAATAATTCATCATACATTCATGTAATCACAAAGGAGTCACAGTTATACTCATAGTAATTCATCAACGAAATCACAACATCAAGACATCACTGCACAAGATCAGAATTTGTGAAACTCTGCTACATTCGCTAGCAAGTTCGCCGTGCGAGTCTGGGGCGAATGTTCGCCGTGCGAACTCCCGATTACAGCAAATCGCTGTTACGCACCAGCACCAAAACCAGACCAAAAACCTCTACGATTTCCTTCCCCAATGTCCTAAAAACATCCCTAAATCATTCCTAAGGTATTAGGGCGATATAAGCACCAAATCTACGACTTATTAGGTCAATCGCGTATCATATTTATGCTTCCAATTCCCATAATTTCTTACAAATACACCACAATCATTAAAGTTTTCACAATTCAATTTTATCTCAAATCAGGCTCAAACTTATCAGACCATCTGTTCAAATCTTTCAAACTCATTGAACTAACCATCAGAAAGGCAACAATAATTCAATCAAAATCCCTAAACCCTTAAATCAGCTTTAAACACATTGAATCACATAGTGAAAACAATGAAGACAATACTCCTCATATCTTAATTGCCGACTCTAAGCCTTTCTCCTTGATTCTTGAAAATCTCCCGAAGCTTTTGCCTCAATCATCTCTTTCTCTGAGCTCTGACCTCTATTTCTTCCTTTTTCACGGTCTAACAAGAATGAATCCTAATTCCCTCAAAATTCCTTTTTGTTAAACCTAACTTTGGGTCTTAAAATTGGGATTTCCAACTTCACCCTCACTAACTCCTCTTCAAATGTCTATTTTGCCCTTAATTCACTTATACTTATTTATATTAATAATAATACCAATATATTCATATTATATACTATTATTTAAATAAATAACTCAAAATTCATAATTCTCAATATTCACACCAATCAATAAAAATCACCAAAAATGCGAATATTCATATTTAAATAAATTAAATAAATATTCCAAGAATTTGGGTGTTACAATTCTCCCCTACTTAAAAGAATTTTCGCCCTCAAAAATTAACTCAAGGAAACAGAGTCGGATACGACTCCCTCATCTGATCCTCATGCTCCCAAGCCCGACTTTTTCCAGCTGGTCCTCCCAAAACTACCTTTACCAAGGAAATCTCTTTACCTCGCAGTTGTTTCATTTCTCGTTCATCAATCCGATCTGCCAATGCCTCAACAGTCAAATTATCTCACTTGTACATCATCCATCTAATTCATATGTGACGGATCTGGAATCTACTTCTTCAACTGAGACACATGAAACACATCATGCAAATTCGCAAACGACGACGGTAAAGCAATCCGAC